GTGCTAGATCGCTGGTTATTATGCCCACTCTCATGTGATGTGCGTTTTTCAAACAAATAATTTAAATAATTACCGCGCTTCAGTTTAAATCAAAAGTGCAAAGTGCTTGTAAATAAATAAAAATATAAATATATATAAGTGATAGTTGATATACCGTGACTCATTAGATGAATAAAATTAAATTTGTGAAAAATAAATTCATAACATATTCGCAAGTCATTATATGTGCAATCCCTATTACAATGTGCAAATCTTCCATTGGTGAACCTCAAAGAAATTCATTATATAAAAATACAATAATATAATAAAGTGAATGAAATATTAGTAAATTTAAAAATAAAAATTAAATAAAAAAATATATAATAAAAATGAAAATTAAATAATAAAAATGAAAATTAAATAATAAAAGTCCAATAAGAAAAAACAGCAATTATGGGAGATTTACAACCTATAGGCGCGCCCTCAGACTGACGGTCGCTACACCTGAGCATTTCATGGCAGCCGACACTGAGCTCCTCTGCTGTAAAGAAGTATACTGAGAATTTATTTTATTTAATATTATCCAAGGGCACCTTAACATTGTTCAAATTAGTATACATGAAAAGGAAAACACTGTTCATGACACACATACAGTTTATGACCAACAGTAATAGAACAGACAGATAATGCGGAGTGAAATCATTTTACAAACGCTGGCACTGAATAATACCAATGTTGCCCCAGGTTTCATAATGCTGCTTATTGAGCAAGGTAGTGCAAAGGTCAGTTATGATGTGCAAAGTACACTGAGGGTGGTCATAGAGGAGCAGATGTCTCCAAAGAACTATGGGTAGAGAAATATTTGTCCACATTCAAGTTCACTGTAGTGCTGGGACAAACTGCAGTTTTTTTCCTGGTAGTGACCATAGTGCATTCGCAGTGTTTGTAGCCTCCAACACAGAATAGTGAAGGATTGGGCTTGTTTCTAAGAAAATACCGAGCCGGAGATGCTTGTTATCACCTCCTAGCAGAACACATAATGCCCAATTATAACAAACACTACTTTTATGCTTCTAGCATGACTTGTTATTACCAGGCTTCTTATGTTCTGCCTAACCAACCACAACCAATTAGATAGCAGTTTACTGCAGTCAAATCAGTTAAGAGATTACTTCTGATTGGCTGCTATGGATTTCTGCATTTTGCACTTCAATGCTCTTTGCAACTGTTTATTGAGAAACTAAAAGACAGTCAAGCTCTGTTATTTCCTACAGATATATGGAGATTCAATAAAATAAAATAAAAAAAACCCTACTGTCCTTATCAACCCAAAAAAATGGCAGTTGCAACACCTTCAATATACTTTACTGCCGTTTTCATAGCCAAATCCAACTGTAAATATGTATTTTAATATGGCTGAATGAAGGCTAATTATATATCATAAATAAATAAATACCCAGATAAATTTAAGACTGGTAAATAAATATAACCCATGTAACATTTTTTTTAATTAGGGGAGGGCCTTCCAGAAAATTGGTGCTACTAGACTTTTTTCTTCTAGCAGCAAGCTACAGTTGCCTTTCTGGTCAATGTACGAAAAATAAAACAAAGTACAAGAAACCTTGAATATGTTGCTGTCAGTGAACCACAAGTGTTTGTCCGTGTATTGCCGTTCTGCATTGTGTCTGTGCAGTGATCTTCATGCCGAGTGGAGAGGGCTCTCATGAAAAGGTGCACTGTGGGAAAGGCATGCTATTCACTAGGAAGAAAATCCATGTCAGAAGACATGCAAAAAGCAAACCGTAAAAAAAAAAAAGACGCTGAATGAAAACGACGAGCAAATGGCACAACTCTTCTCTAGCAAAGTTCCGTTTCGAAAAATAAAAGTACTTCAGAACTTATTGCAAAAGTGTGAGGTTATTTAGACATGAAATGAGAAAATTATTTTTTTAGTCCACAGTGGAGTGATTATCGTAGGAAAAAAAAAAGGTTAAAAAATAAAACTGACACAAAAGTGCAACATTTTTTTATAACATAAGTAACGGCAGCGGGTGGCTCATGATAATGCATGGGTAAGCATCATTAGAACCAATTTGAAGTTCACGTGCAAATTGTCCCAGGTTGAGGGTATATGGTATGTAGATGTTAGCACCCATAGGAGCATGAATGGCATAAAGAGAAATACAGACTATAGTGCAAAAAGGTGTATTCCAGCACAAGCCTGAATGGCAAGGTATTTAACATAGTGCAACTCTAAAGTAATCCATAGCAACCTAGTACTGAACTTTGTATGGAAGATTTGTGATGATTGTGCAGAATTTGATCTAAATGTCAGGAAACACTCAAACATACTGTATGATAGAACTGTATAGAATTTCATAAGATTGTATGGCAGGAGGAGTTAGAAAAAAACCCTCATGTGTAAGGGCGGTATTAATCCGTGCAGATCCTGGGAATTGGATTTGCCAATGAATTCATCAGCTGATCTATGCGTGCCCATGTTCAAGAAGACGGATTCTATGACGAATGGATGTTCAGATAGAGTTATGGACAATTGTACTTATCTATATGTGCTAGAGGGCAAATCTGACATAAGAATGTCATTAATAGGTGGCAATCTTTAAGAAAATCTATACTGTGAGATAATGGGGCCTGCCATTACTGATCTCATTCTGAAATGCTAGCTGCCTGCCTACCTGCCACTGGCTAGAACATTTTCTGTGTCACTGGAGGGATATACCCTCACTTCTTGTCTTGTTGACCATTTTCACTGGGACAGAAATCGAGTGCAAAAGTTCTAGGTGGAGCTCCATTTGAGTCAATATTATTCCCTACTTTAATTTTTTTTTTTTTGTATTTGCACACATAGACTGTGCTATGCCTAAGACAATAAATTATAAATTCATTTTGGAGCTCTATCAGTTAATATAAAAATGCTATCCCTTCACCAGGTTGTTTGTTTTTTTTCCTGTGAATATTCTTCCATCTGAAGATACTGACCTCCAAACATAGAAACCAAATGTGGCAGTGATTCATCTAACTAAAAGGCCACGAGTCTAGTGTGAATATCTTAGTAAGCAGATCCATACTGTTGCATACACAATGGACTCACATTTCTAACTAATAATCTATTTGCTCCTTTGTTTTTCCAGACAGCTCAAGGCTGAGCTTAGTGCATGGCGGCCAATCATCTTCTAACTTCAGCTTGCTCAGTGAAGCTTTGACAAAAAAACTGGAAGCCGATTGGTTTCTGTGCAGAGCTGCACCAGATTTCGCACTCTCCAATTTTAGCAAATCAACCCCCATACAGTTAAAGATGGAGGGGGTTCTAGGAAGTGGAAAGAAGTAGGGGTATAGGAGGGGTTATAAAGGACTCAATGGTGTGAGCATATTGTCTGCAGGGGGAGCCATAGTGGTTGAAGACAAGACAGGAATATCGGCAGGGGAAGGGTTATGAGAGTTGGAGGACTTTAGGTGCAAGAGATAAGTGTTCAAATGTTAGATACAGAGGTTGAGAAGTCATATATAACAGCAAGAGAGGAGTTATAAGGTTTGGGGGTTTTAAGGAGGTAATGGTGTAAGCATGGTGTCTGTGGTGGAGCTACAGAAAATGAAGATGTCAGGAGTAGGCAAAGGAGAGGGGTTAGGAACGTTGGCAATTTCAGGTAAACGAGGTAATAGTTTCAGTATGTTAGCTGCAGGGGAGCTATGAAGGTTGAAAATTAGTCAGAAGTACTGGCAGAGCAGGGCTTAGAAGAGTCAGTGGTTCCACATACAGGATGCAATGGTGTAGGTTACCTGCTGCGGGGGCTATAGCAGTTGAGGATAGATCAGGAGAAAGAAGGGAGGGGGGGGGTGTGAGAGTTTCAGATACAGGAGGTAATTGTGTGATCGTGTTAACTAAGAGGTAGTTATAGAGGCTGGGGATGATAAAGCTGGAGCAGTGGATACAGGATTGAATCTCAGCTGCTCTGACTTGTATCTTACACCAGGTCTGGGTATGTGAAGCTAGGCCACTAGCTGAGCTCAGTGAGTGCTGTGGGTTACAGTACACCTGCAGTATGTCAAACACCTTGTACCATCAATACAGTTATGAATGATAACACTTCCATCCAAAAACCAAACACTGCAGCCTATAACCTATGCCCCTTCCTGGTCAGTATTACTATAATAAGAAGTGCAATGACAGTAACTGTCTGGAGGCTCCAGAAATATCTTGTGTCTGCTGCAGATGGAAATGTTTCACAGGTTTCAGTGCTGTGCTCTTTTTGCACCTCAGTAATATTTTTCTATTACATGCAATGAGGTCCAGGATTGACCATGTTGCGCCATTACAAGAGTTCCTAATCCTTTATCAGTGCTGTGAAGTGCTATCCTGCCGGATAAACAGTGCGGGAAAAGGTAAAGAGATGGAAAGGTGCCCATTTTGAGAATTTCTATGGCACATTGTATTAGTTCAAGTAAGGAGGTAATCAGACATTATTTGCAGATCCTGATGACCTCCAGAAATTCTGTGATGTATTTCACATCCAGTCATTATATAATGTGTATTGTAAAGGAATTCAATTTATTCTTAAAGTGCAGGAGATGTCTGTTCCTGAAGAGAATTCTTCTGTCTGAATGGCATACAGTTGAGGAGGATTTAACCCCTTTCCTGCTTGAGATACCTGCACAGTGCAGTACAGCAAAGATCACCACCAACTTCCCTGATGCAAAGACTTGCAGGATGCTACAGAGTACAAAAAAAAAAAAAGAAAAAGAAAAACCTTTTCTTCAGGGATATCCACTGACCCATCTTTTGCTAAATTGGCCTTGAAGTCCTGCCTTTAAATGGTAAAGAGGTATCTTTGCAGGGAGATGCAGGCCTTTCCAGCAGTGAAGGGGTTGCAAGGACAAAATGGCATGTCCTACGAAAAAGCCCCCTAGAACTGAGAAACCAGATTTCTCCTCCATGGGCTCCACCTCTTCAGCTCCGGTAGACAGTGCAGGCTTCTCCTTGACGTTAGAGACTTGAGTCTTTGTCAGAGGCTGGTTGAGGAGACAGAAAGAGTAGGAGAGGAGGGCGGAGGGAAGTTGAGAAGTTCTAGCACTGCCACCCCAACGCTGCTCCTTCGGGTGAACATACAAGATGCAGCAACCCACTTGTTGGTACGTGGGTTGTACTTTTCTATGGAGTTCAAGCTTGAGCTTCCATCATTGCCTCCTACTGCATACAGCCACCCATCCATGGCCACAAGATCATGCGTGCTTCTGTAGAAAGACAACAGAATAGATGAAAATTCAAAAAAAAATAAAGTACCCCTGAAACCATAAACAGGAAATATTGTATTACTAAAAAAAAAAGTATGATCTAGAAGCCATAAGAAAATCTCAAATGTCAAGAAAAAAAACGACTGGAGTGCAAGATTCCGTCTACAAAACTGCCATTTTTATGTTTGGTACTGGACTTTGATTTTGTACAGCTTAATCCTGGACATTTATGGGTCCAGGGCTGAGCTGTAAACTGTCAAAATGTTGCTACATGTATGGAGCAGTACTGCTTGGCATGTTTACCAATCATTTTATTCTACGAAACAAACAGATGTTCTAAAAATGAAAAATTTCAAACAAGATGTGTATGGCTAGCTCAAGACACTCATCATTGGGACGTCATCAGAGTGTTTACTACCTGCACAGGCAACAGCATTTCTGGCAGACGGGAAATGAGCTTGCAGTGTCCTTCAATCCGAGGACTGAACAGGAAGAGCACTAAATGTACTTTTTGTCTGAGGCTTACTGGCCTTTAAAATGGGATCTGACTTGTTTCTCTGATTTCAGGAAGTAGACTAGTTCATTACTATTCAGTCTTCCAGAGTTTAGTTCTGGTTTGTGATCTGAGAATAGGATTTTAACTCTAAACAATGGGAAGTGCTTGTGAAAGTTTAATACCACCTCAATTGAAATTCCTCAGTGGTACACTGGGGTCCTAAGCTCTGTGTTATGCTTAGATATACATAATCTAAACACTGTATACTCAATATGTAAAAGCCGGTCACAGCGATATTTTAATAATCTTGTCTCCTGTCTCTTCAACAAAAACTGCGGTTGTTTATATGAACACCATGCATAGGTCAGGCGGGATGGCCAGATCATTTAATGTGTGTCCAACATACATCTGACCTCAGACTGGCAGGATCTCACCAAACAACCAAGGTTGTCCATCCTTAAGCTGCAACACACGGTACAGCACCATGTTAGCGTGTTGTGGGACCATTCATTCCAAATAGCAGCCCAACACACTAAAGCAATGTAGCCAATGCATTGTAATGCACCACTGTCAGTTATGATTTGCTGCATCGCGAAACTTCATGCTGTTTTAGTGCATTAATAAAACTTGCCTAAATGGTTTATTTGGATTTTTTAAATAATTATTTAAATTATTATAATGGGGCAGCACAGTGGCTAAATGGTTAGCACTTCTGCCTGGCAGTACTAGGGTCGTTGGTTCGAATCCCAGCCACGGCACCACCTGCCTGGAGTTTGCATGTTCTCCCTGTGCCTGCGTGGGTTTCCTCCCACACTTTAAAGACATGCTGGTAAGTGAATTGGATCCTGTCTAAATTGGCCCTAGTATGTGTATGTATGAATGTAAGTTAGGGACCTTAGATTGTACACCCCTTGAGGGTTAGGGACTGATGTGAATGTACAATATATATATGTAAAGTGCTGCGTAAATTGACGGCGCTATATAAGTACCTGAAATAAATAAATAAATTGTATAGTGATATTTTGTATTTTTAGCAGCCCTTCTCTCCTTTTTCACACATTTGGGGGGGGGGGGGGGGTGCAGGAATAAGCAGACCAGAGCTTGACTATACAAGCTGTAGTAAATATTCCTGTAACAGATTGCTAACAATTGTGTCACTGGCAGCAAATCGCCAGCCAAAGAACTACTAAAAGTACTCACATACTACTATACTGTAGTGTTGCTACCTTAACCAGTGAGGTTCAGCAACATTTTTGGGCAGCACAGTGGCTAAATGGTTAGCACTTCCGCCTGGCAGTACTAGGGTTGTTGGTTCCAATCCCAGCCACGGTACCACCTGCCTGGAGTTTGCAAGTTTCTCCCTGTGCCTGCGTGGGTTTCCTCCGGGTACTCCGGTTTCCTTGCACACTCCAAAGACATGCTGGTAGGTTAATTAACTCCTGTCTAAATTTGCCCTAGTATGTGTATGTATGAATGTGAGTTAGGGACCTTTGATTGTACGCCCCCTTGAGGGTTAGGGACTGATGTGACTGTACAATATATATATGTAAAGCGCTGCGTAAATTGACAGCGCTATATAAGTACCTGAAATAAATAAATAGAATAAATAATTTCAGTGAAGGAGTAAAACTGCTGAAGCATTAATGATCCTCTTCCTGGTGATCTGCTGCCAGCAACAGGTTCATTAATGTGACGAAGCACTTAAAAAGCATCTGTTACCCACCTCCGCATGCTCCCTGCCATTTCATTTGGCTGTTGTAACCCTTAAAGATATTTGAACGTACGGGTATGGGAGAACATGTGACCTTTTCTGCTTGTTCCCTGGATGCAGTGTACAGACCTGAGTAGCCAATCACCAGGCCCAGACATCATCAGGTGGGGAAGCAGGCAAGGTTTTTAACCCTGTGTAAGCTCCGACACAGACCGATGTGCGTTTATGCAGGAATAAGACTCTGGGCTCCAACAGATACACTGATTGGTGGGGGAGCATGGAGAAGGTAATCACCAGTTAGTTGATTGGTGGCATGTAAAGAGAACCTGTCACTTTAGCTTGAATAGGCAAACTTAAGGATTTCTCTTTAGGACCGCCATCTCAACTCAAGCCAGTTACTTAAGGGACTGCTAAATAATTTACTGTGTAAAGCTTTCTCTAGTGGAAATGGATTATTCCTCATTACACAACCTCCTGAGGCTATCCAGCAGGGGGGTTAGAGAAATCTCCCCTCCCCTGTGGTATCACCAATCTCCCAGCTGGGGGTTATCTAAGGGCAGAAATCATCTAATGAACACAATGAATGCTTTTGTAGCCATCACACTCCTCTCTTTGATGTGATCTTTAAGAGGGGAGATGGGTTAAGGTAGCCATAACCGCCATCAGAATCTCTAAATGATACAAAATAATTGTGACTTTTACAGATTAATACATTTGGTATTTTTGGGTCGATTTGGGGTAAATAAACAGATAATGCAAGAAGTGTATATGTTGATTTTACATTGCACAATTCCTGAAGACCATATTACCTCCTAATGTTCATAGGTGCCACACTCTCCCATGTGTTTGCCTTTGGGTTATATCGCTCCACAGAGTTTAGACAGCTTGTGCCATCATTTCCTCCTGCTACATACAGCATTCCCTCCAGCACCGCCACTCCAGCACTACTACGGCGACTTAACATGTTAGCAATCGGGGTCCAAGTGTTTATCTGCAAAAAATAAAATAAGAAAAAAGGTTAAGAAATGAAAAATGAACGAAAGATAGTTATTGCCTAAATTAATAAAAACAGGCCAAACAATTAGCTCATCTTTATCCCAACCTTTGGGTGTGGACTTGTAGGCCCAACTACCATACATATTTGAAACTTGTTACATAAACTCCACTATATAATGTACCTTATTCAAACATATCTATAAATAAAAATTATCTAAAGTTTGCTGTAAATATTGCCACAGTTACACGCACTTAATATGCATACGCTGCAGTAGCTGCCACTCTGTTAAAGTAGATATAAAGCCTAACCTACTTAGATTTAGTTTTCTAAAGCACCATGTATCCCAAACAACTGCCACTTATCCTTTTAGAAAAGTTAAAAAGTTTTACTTTTTTTTTTTTTTTTTTTTTTTAGCTTTGTTGCATCTCCTACAGCCTCTCTGCTGCCAGTTTATGTCTACATGCACTCTCCTAGATTGTAAGCTCCAAGGAGCAGGGCCCTCCTATCCCTCATGTATTGAACTGTATTGTTGCTGTATTGTCTCCCGTTATAATTGTAAAGCGCTGAGCAAACTGTTGGCGCTATATAAATCCTGTATAATAATAATAATGCACTCCAACAATAGCTGTATGATATTTCTCAGGGAGGGTTTCCCAGTAGTGACAACAGTGGACCATGCTGGAGCAAAGTATGTTGGAACTGCCACTTGTAGTCGCTCTTGGGTCCATGTGACAGGGTGACAATGCAGGAGTATAACTGGAAGATAGGGACAGTGCACGGTCACCCACAAAACAGGAAGTACCCGAACAGGGAACTTTATGGCAAGATCACTTAATATTATTTAATAAAAGCTACAGTTTTAAAAACAAATATATAAAAATATTGAGAAAATCTTTTGAAAGTAAAATGACATATTTAAACTGCAATAAGACTTTAGTAATTGGGTTTACATACTTGAAATCCATGCAATCGGTGTTTATGTCTAATCCTACAAATGAAGATTACAGTATGTCTTTGATATCTTTTATAGATTCTAGAAGTAGAATTCATAAACACAGGAAGTGAAATCCATAAAAATATTAAAAGAATCATCTGTGTTTGTAGGATTAGATAGAAACACTGATTATGTGGATTTAACAGACCGTAGATACTGCAGTGTACGTATGTTGGGTGCATGTGGTTTTATATAACATTGTACAATTTTTATTGTGGTGGACATATGGATAGTAAGTTTTAGATGATTTTATATTTTATTATAAATGAAAAATGGGGCGCAGCGCTAAAATATACCTGATACACATATATATATAACACAAACAGAATTAATGAAAAGATAAGTGATATAGTGTGCCAAGAATTGTGCAAAGAAGCATTCAAAAGTCCTTAAGTAACAAATGGTGATTCAAAATATGTGCGTCTTCCGGTGATCAAATTAATTGAATCATGCACTCACTAGATGCATAATTCAAATATTATCGCGCAGATGTCTGGTTAGCTGACACACTCCCTATGAATACGTGCATTTGGCACGAAACGCGTCAGAGTAAGAGCAGCATACCCCAGACATCACGCCACCGCATGGAGCGGCGGCCATCTTTGTACACTTTATGGTCAGTTTTGTTTATTCAGTCCTTGTCTTTGTTTTGGATCAATAAATTTTCCATTTAAAACGATATCACACCATCCTGACTTTCTTTCTTGGGACCCTGCTGAGTCCAATACCCGCAGAGCCTACCTGGGGAGACAGCTGAGAGGTGTTTTTTAGTGTGTTAACGCACGATCCACAAGGAGAACCTGGACGGACAGATGTGCCCAGACGATGATCCTATGATGCCATATCCGATTTTGGGATAACTCCGCTTGGATATCGGGATATCATCTATATGCATATTTGAATTATGCATCTGGTGAGTGCATGATTCAATTAATTTGATCACCGGAAGACGCACATATTTTGAATCACCATTTGTTACTTAAGGACTTTTGAATGCTTCTTTGCACAATTCTTGGCACACTATATCACTTATCTTTTCATTAATTCTGTTTGTTATATATATATATATGTGTATCAGGTATATTTTAGCGCTGCGCCCCATTTTTCATTTGTTCTTTATAGAGTCCTTTGGTACCTATTGGCGCTTAGCAGCTTCTTATCTAGCGCTCACTTTCTTTCATTATATATTTTATTATAATTGGAGTAAAATAAAAGTTCTATTGTAATTTATATTCTAGAGGAATTTATGTAACCATTTCCTCAAGATATTTCTTGATATACAAACAAATAGTATCAGTTGTTTTTTGTTAAATAATTACTAACTACAAACCACTAAACAGCTCATCCACTCCCTCATCATATCACGACTCGACTACTGCAACTCCCTCCTCACTGGCCTGCCTTGCCGCTGGCTATCCCCGCTTCAGTACATCCTGAATACAGCAGCCAGACTCATTCACCTTTCCAACCGTCTCCGCCACCCCCCTCTGCCAATCCCTCCACTGGCTTCCGATTGCGCAACGGATCAAATTCAAAATCCTAACACTGACCTACAAAGCTGTCCACCACACTGCCCCGAACTACATCACTGACCTAATATCCAAGTACCACCCAGCACGCACACTCAGCTCCTCACAAGACCTCCTTCTCTCTAGTTCCCTGGTCTCCTCCTCCCATGCCCTCCTCCAGGACTTCTCCAGGGTGTCACCCATCCTCTGGAACTGCCTGCCCCAACCCATCAGATTATCACCTACTCTCCTCTCCTTTAAGCGCACCCTGAAAACCCATCTCTTCAGGGAAGCCTACCCCACCCCCTGCTAACTTGCCGACCTCCTCCACTCTTTCTACCACTCCATCCCCCACAGCTATTTCCTCCTGTGCCACCATCCCCTCCCTCCTAGATTGTAAGCTCGAAAGAGCAGGGCCCTCGATCCCCTCATGTTTTGCATTGTATTGGTATTGTTCTGTCACATGTTCTGTCCCCCTTTGTAATGTACAGTGCTGAGCGAACTATTGGCGCTTTATAAATACTGTATAATAATAATAATAATAACTACAGGTTTTCAGCGTAGAATGTTTTGTTTTTGGCAACATAAAACAGACATGGTAGTCCCAAATACCCCTTGCTCAAAGTGTGTCTAGCCCAAAACATTTTAGTATTAGATACAGTGGAGGATTAAAACCCCTTTCTGGGTTTTACTTTTATCTGATGCTGTTAGAAAGTAAGGAAAAGTCTCCATCTAGCCAACAGCGATTTCATGAGAAAAAAAAGCAAGAAAAATTTGCAACAGGGCACAGACAGAAATACAAATTTGACAGGAGATCCAGCCTTCCCCTACTTTACTTAAAATTATATTTTTATTTCTGCCTGTGCTGCTTTTGGAGAGTTCTACTCCTTTCCTGTTGGGATCATTTTTACCAGAACAGGAAGTTAAGAAACAATCTTACAGGCCATTCCCACTATGTGAAGTCCAGGGTTGGTTCCCAAGGTTTCACCGAGGTTGCCCCTATCCAGATGCATTGCTTCTCTGTGGTAGTAGAAGATAGTGAAGAGCTGACTATAGACTCTGAAGGTGAAATTATAAACTAGTTAAGCTAAGAGTGATTTCTTGTTAAGGAGGAGAGGTCCATCACAGAGTGGGGTAGGCTTATAGGGGGATGCCAGTGTCCAATCACCTGGCACGAGCCCAGGGGCGGACTGACAACTCATGGGGCCACCGGGCAATAGGGGATCATGGGGCCCCTGTGTCCTTGCCCAAACTCAAAAAGCCTATGAAAAAGGTACCAGGGGCATCTCATGGAGCCCCCTACTGACCCCGGGCCTTCAGGCAGTGCCCGAGTTTCCAAATGGTCAGTCCGCCCCTGCACGAGCCTATAACCCAGGGTCTATGAATACTCAGCCCATGTCTTATACTGTACGATTACGATAAAAGATTTGGCTTGACATACACTTTAAGGCTACATCACAATCCAGTGGTTCACAACATCACTGAATGTGCAATAGGGCTTCCTGGCCACAGCATACTTGCGAACCAGTGTAAAAACAATTATTTAGACCTCCTGTTTGTAGCAATAGTAGGTTAATCATCATTTTCACCAGGCATTTCCATTAGGCCTGTTTCACACAGGCTTCAGCTTGTATAAGAGCATTGTCAACAGCAAGCTTTGACAAAGCATTTGCAGAACAATCAGAAAACTTTATTGAAGCTTTTAAAGTACGATTCAACTCCAATGTGTAAATGCTGAACACAGATCCTAATGGGAGTGTTGATTGTCACTTTAAGCAAGCTGCGAGAAGCCTTCAGCAGGCTTTTAACAAGCTTCAAGAAGTGCTGAAGCCTGCTAGCAGCTTGTTTAGGATAGCAATCAGCAATCCCATTCGGATCTCTGTTCAACATTTACAAACTGGAGTTGAATAGTGCTTCAATAAAGTTTGCTGAAAGTTCTGCAAATGCTTTGTCAAAGCTTGCTGTTCACACTGCTCTTATACAACCTGAAGCCTGTGTGAAACAGGTCTTAAACACCAACAGCAATCATGCCCTCAGGAACCAAGAGCCCCGATTCAAATTGCTGATAATAACATGCATACACCATAGTCTAATTTTTGAACAAAACCTTTACAGACAGAGAAGAATCTTTCATTAGCAATACAATCTAAAATATCAGCTACATTTTGTCTGGGGCTATTTATTCCTGATAGTTAACATTTCAAAGAGATTGTTAAATTGGCACAGTATACCAAAGACAGATAATTAATACATCCTATTAATAAAGTATGCAGTGAGCGCACTGTGTGCTAATGGCAAAGTAAAGTGTAGAAGTAGGGGTAGTCCCTGGAGAGACAAGAGGATGGCACTTGAGAAATCAGTCTATATTTGGAACATATATAAATATGTGCATAGTACCATCATTAACCAGTCATTCCAAAGACTTAACACATACATTCAGCCACATGCCTATTTCAGACATATATTAGGAATAGTCTCCAATAGATAATTAT